GCGGGCCTGGGGACAGCGCCCTGCGGTCGCGGCTGGCGCATGCCGGTGGCCGGCAGGGGCGCGGGAGGCGCGGCTTTGCGCGGCTCGGCTGCCCTCCTCGCCTGGCCGGCAGCCCGGGCGGCCGCGCCATTCTCAAGGCTCACGGGGCCGTAGGGGTGAACACGTACGGTCCTGGACTTTTGTTAAGAACACATTTAATTCAGGGCAACACTGTAAAACAGCAATTTCCAAATAATGTAAGACCAGGAGTAGCACTCACAAATTAGAAATTTTAGAAAGTTACTGGGAAATTATTTGAAATTTTATTAATATTATTACATTTATTAATTTTTACTCTAATAATTCCATCATTTTAGTTGGTCAGCCTTTTATTCCTAGAGAAAGTTACCATATTTAATAAAAATAGGAACCTATTTCTTTCTGGGACTTTAGCATAGAATAGCAAAGTTAAGTTCAACTACATCTGGCCAAAGTCTTAAACAGAAACTCTTCAAATGATTGTAGACTATAAAATAGACAAAATTAAGTGGGCAGCTCAAAGGACACCCGGATTTGGCTAATTACGAGGTGCTGGGAGGTGGGGCCGGGCTCCCCACAGCGGCCTGCAGAGCTGAGGAGCACCAGCCCCCAGCCCCAGATGCCCGGAGAGCTCTGACCCCGCTGTCAAGGTGTCGCTGGGCGCGGGCCCTTTCTGCGTGAGCTCCCAAACAGCGCATGGGTTCTGGGGTTCAGGACGTGTGCTGTCCTCAGATACAATTAACACTTGAAGGCAGACTAAACTACCAAGCTAGAAGTGACATTCCCTGAAGAAAAAAGCTACTTTTATTAGTTTACACTAGCAAAGAATTTTGATCTAAAATGTGGGCTCAGTTGCTTGTGAAAGGAACCCATGCTAGTTACTAAGAGAAAGGAAGCTGGGGCTTCTCACAGGATGAGCTACTGCGGTGACCTCAAGGCCAGGCTTGGTGGTCAGGGCTCAGAATCTGAGCCCCTGGACATGTGCTGTTGTCACACGTCTTCCTGGGGACACTGTGACAGTATTTTATCTAATCTTTCATTTTTTAAGATATCAAACAAAGTCAAAGATTAATGATATTTTTTAAATAAGAAAGTATAGTACAAATTTCCTTTTGCCCTTGACTTTCACTGAAAAAGATGTATTTGAGCTGATTCTAGCCAAAGCCCCTCTTATCTTCCGGTCGGCTCGGACTCTGCACTGCGGCCTGACTGCCCGCCTCCTCCCTCGCGGGCTGTCCTGCACTGGCAGCCTTCTGAGGCCTCGCGTGCACGCTGGCATGGGCCTCGTCTGGACGGCACGTGCCACCTCAGTACACGCCAGCGACAGGGCAAGCTGGGGAAGGCGCCTCTGCCTTGACGCGGCCCCCAAGTGCAGAACTACTGGGGGAAATGTCTAGCTATATGGGAGTCCCTCCTCACAGCTGTTGGTAATAATGAAAGAGACAGTCCCCGGTAGGGAGGGGCAGGAAGCCACTGGTGCAGGCAGTGAGCAGGAAGCCCGGTGGGAAGGCAGGGCTGTGCAGTTCTCTGCCTGTAGTGAGTTATGCTTTTCAACACTTAGCCATACACGTGGACTCCACCCCACAGTGGACACTGTGTATGCGGAAAGGGCGGCCAAGTGCTCGGCACACGGCTGCAGTCTCTGCAGCTCAAGGCCGCATGTGAGCACCATGCGTGGTGCCTTCTCCACCGCTGGGCACCTGCCCGAGTTGGCGGGCCAGTCCCTCACCTGCACTCAGCCTCTTCTCCTAGGAAGCACTTTCCACTCAGGCGCTGCACCACGCACTTAAAGCTGCTTGTCATTAAATTCCCTCATTCTAGCAAAGAGCTTAAAAATACTTGCCATATAAGGAGAGGGAGCATTGTCGTCAGAAACACTGTAGAACGACACCTCCACTGGGAGGGTCAGGTGTGCGGGGCAGAACACACCGCTGGCCCCCACCTCGGCAGTAAAGCCACTGACCACCCCGAGGGGGTCTAAACGGTAGTTCAGGACAGACTCCTGCAAGACAGACAATTTGTGAAAAAGTGAGTGGCTCGTTTTCCGGCTCAGGGCCAGTGCTGCTCCCGCATGCCGCTCCGGGGCCCACACCCGCCCACCTCCCACTGTGTGCAGGTGTCCTCCCGCCATTCCAGCCAGCACTGAGCACTCCTGGAGCCTCGCCATTTGCTCTGCTAATTGGTTAATGCTGTTTTTGTATCTCTAAGTAAAAGTTCGCTCTCAACTGGCGGTGGTGGTGAGGGCCCAAAACTACAGCGACTCAGGCAGGAAGGTCACGTGCTTGAGGTCAGCCTGTGTGACTCAGGCCCACCTGACACAGAAAAGGCAACCCCTGCTGCTGTCAGGCTGGAATGAACTGGTGGGAGAAGACAATCTCAGGACAGGGGAGCTGCAGGACAGGTGAGGACGGCACCAGGGAGGGTGAGTGATGGCTGTGGAGATCGGATGCTCGGCCCGCTTGGGCCTTCTCTGGGTCAGTGTGTTACAGAGACTGCGCTGAAACGACCAGTATCTCTTTGCACACTACTGCAATAAGAACTTATTGTTTCTTGAAATAGCACCAGTCTGAGTTTAAAATTCACATCTCTTGGACTTCCACACCCTTCTCACTGCCACATGTCACTAAACTCACTTAGAAACATCTCCTGTAATTGACTTAGGAAAGCATCAAGTTCATTATGAGGAGAAGTCACGAACTGGCTGCAAAGCCACTCTGCACATGCTCCCTGTGTCCCTGGACAGGTATGCACAGCTACAGAGACTCTGTGAAGAAGATCTGGCGAGCACGGTCCCTCCTCTCGCGTCCTGTGCGTGTACCAGGGTGTCTGCGCCCCAGTGCCACTGCAGCAGAAAGGTGGCAGCGCACCTGCAAGCTACAGCCCTAGCTGTTTTCATTTTATTTTACTTTTTTTGTGGCGGAACCAGGGATTGAACTCAGGCCCTTGCGCTTGCCAGGGAAGCGCTTATTCCACTGAGCCATCTCCCTGGCCCTTTTTACTTATTTTTGAGACAGGGTCTTAAGCAGCCCGGCCTGGCTCTGAACTCTGGATCCTCCTTCCTCAGCCTCCTGGGTACCTGACACTACAACTGTGCGCCACTGGGACCTGGCTTGCCATTTTAATTCTAAGACCAAGAGGAATGACGAGTTCGGCATCTGTGAACTGAAACCTTGAGGTGACATGTAAAGAATCAACCTAACAGGAGTACCTCTTCATTTCCACTAAAACTGTGAAAGACAGCGTCAGAATTAAAATAATTATAAAGAATACTGCCAACTCTGATAAAGGTACTTAATTCAATTAAAAATAGAAAACTTAAATAATTTCCTCTACAAACACACCACTTAAAATGCCACCTATAGGTTCTGTGCTCGAGACTAATATCCAACTACAGACAGCAAGCTGGGGCTCCCTCTGACGACAGGTAGCAGGGTCCACGATAGTCAAGAGGCAGGGAGGCCACACGCTAGAAGGCTAGCCTGGGCAGTGTGGCTGCTTGGTAAGGCCCTGTCTCAAATAAAAACGAATCAGGATTGTGGGTACAGCTCAGCGCAAAGGTCCTGGGTTTAATCCCCAGTGCCCTTCTGCCCCGCCAGGTTTGTGTAGCAAAGATCTTTAAGCATGTGATTTCCAAAAAATAAAAAAAGAAACAACAAATCTCAGAATACATCCAGAATTTACAGAGAAGTTGCAAACAGCGTTCAGAGAGCCATCTAACCTTGTAAACCAATCTCCTGGCCCGCAAAGCAGCTGT